AATTTAAACATGGGGATTATTCACTTGTGAATTGAAAACAATCTGGATACTTGCAAATAAGCATAACAATTGGACGAGAAAACTCATCCAAAAACAAAGTCTGTAAATTCAAAAAAAGCAAGAAACAATTCTCTAACCTGGAACCAAAGAACACGTCTGTGATTCATTCCATCTCCGAGATTATTATTATTATTATTATTATTAATTAGGAGTATATTATGGAATTTACAATGCAGAAATCATCCAAACGGCCAAAAATATATTAAAGTAATGTAAATCAATTACCTGATTTTTTTTGGGGAAGCTGCAAATCAAATAAAATCTGTAGCAATGCATCGTGAATCCCTCAAATTCCACAATTAAATTGCAACGCCAATTCTAGCATTTACTCCAGCAGGTGAAGCCGAGGAATAAAGCATTGAATATGCTGTCATTTATGCCCAAAAACCTTTTTTTACTTGAAAACAACATTTCTCCTCCTTAATTCATCTTCTTCTGATGGGACTAAACCCTTGTTATCATCATCTCAAGGAACGAAAGTAGATTTTAAAATTAAAAACACCCTAAAGCAACCAACCTGGAAGAGAGACAAAGATTGTTTCATCTCAAATCTCCAATTTCAGATATCAAATTATATCTAAGCAAATGAGAATATATATTCAAAAGAAGAGTTTGAAAATTGATATTCAGAGAAATATAATTGTCAAAAAAAGTCACCTGAGAATGAGTGAAAAAAAAGAGATTGAGTGTCAGTCTTATAAATACTCTGGTGTTGCTCTAATACCAACGTTGCCGTGACAATGTTCCCAAGTGTTCCTGCATTTTTTATTTAAAAACGCCTCCAAAAATTAAAAGCCAAACAAAGACTTTATCAATCTATATTGAGTAAAGAATATACGGAGTATATTGAATATTATATCTAAAACAAAGAAAAAGGAAAAACTGGGAAAAAAGAGTTCATTATGCTGGCAGAGTGAGTTCATTTAAAAAAATAGCAGAGTGACTCTATTTGGTTGGAATGGTTGGAACTGAATGTAATAATTCTACATTCATTTTTAGATATTATATATTTAATTCTGCTACAAATTTAGTAAATTCAACTTATTCGCCTATTTCTTCCAATTTAGGCCTAATGAAACAGGTCCTCAATACCAAAAGACATACTTTTTCTATGACCTTGTGTTGAATATACTCCTTCCGAGACTGATCCCTAGAAAATGCAACAACAATTAGCTCCGGAACTGTAGCTTGTTCAAAGAATTCTTGAGTTTCTCCCCATAAATAATATCCTACAATGTATGCAATGTTTAGAATGACTGGTATCATTGACCCATGCAATGGTATGCTATTATGCATAAGAACTGACACTTTACCATTCTATTTCCTACTACCGAAAACCAAGTTAACCAAAAAATGCAGGATCAAGTTGACTTAGTTGAGAACCATTCTCTTTTAAGGCAGCTCTATCCTAGAATATGAAGTGGAAAGAAAAGGCAAATCACACTCATACTTTTAGTACATAAACAATAAAAAAACTCAACCGCGAATAAAGTAGAAAAGGAGTCCTCATACCTGTAAAAATCCCATAAATGGAGCCAATCCTGTGCCAGGTCCTAGCAAAATAATTTGAAATGATGGATCAGTTGGTAAATTGAAGCTTGGAGGACAAAAGAATATTGGAACTGAACAACACTCAGATCTTCTCTCTTCTCTCTGATGGAATCACATTCTAATTCATTTAAACATAAGAACTTAAATATTGAACAGAAGCGTCAAGGACAAACTTGGAATGAAGTATACCAAGTAAAATGAGGGGAAATTATTTTAAACCTGACCTCACCTTAAATCTTTTTTACCGGTCACCGGCGGTTGTAATTTCTTGCAGAAATTTCCCAAATCTTTCTCTATCCTCAGAGCGAACAGATTGAGCTGAAGCTAGAAAATAAACATTACAAAAAGGAAAATAAAGACAAAGTGGAGAGCCCCCTTCACACCTCATTGCCTCAGAATCAATCAATCATAACATTTAGACAAAGTCAAGTAATTGTCTTGGTCTTGAACCCATTGTATAATGCCATTTCAAATCTCTTTTCTTCTTAAATTACAAATACATTTGAATTTCTTAACAACAATAACAACAACAAAAACACTAATAATATTAATATAATTGCTTGTAAAATGTTTATCTTAAGACAAATCAAAATTTAAGATTTAATAATTCAGGATGGGGTGAAGTGAAGGGGTGGCGGCGGAATTCCGCTTTGACACATAGGCTCATAACCCTCCATGTCGAGAACGCCTTCTGAGAAGGAAAAACCTAGCCAAGCACCAGGTCATATGGCACGTGTTAGTCCAACTACTAAAGAACAAAATCATGGGTCTTCTTAGCATTTGTATTAAAAACGTCCTCTAAGATACTTTCAGAAAGATTAGTTCTGGTCAAAAAAACTGTTTACTATTCGTGAAGATATTAAAAATTGAAACCTTACCGGAAATGTTGAAGTAGGTGCGCACAATGACTCTTATATAGATAGGGAGGACTTGTTTGGTCCTGTAGTTTGAGAAATAAAAGACGAGCAGTGACTAAAATAAGAAGAAAAATGATTAATACTTGAAAAGGTATACCATTAGTTGATTCCAGAAGCCTCAAAAAAGAGAGCATAGTTTGTCAATGTCAACCTACCTAGAAAATGTGTGCGTGGTCCTGTGTAACCTTCTTGAAAATGATTGTCCTTACAATGGAAATGAGAGTAAAATTGCATCAATAATAGAGAAGATCAAAGGCGGGAGGCATGCCAGGCCAACTTGTTCCTCCAATATGGCGCACAACTCTATGCGATGTCGCGGTTCCTTCCACGTGCAGTATAAACTCATTATCCGCGAGTTATATGCCGGTTGGTTTGGCTTGCTTCTGCAAATGCCTTAAGCATCATAAGGAAACACAAGAGAAATATGATGTAGTTATTGTACACAAAAAAACAACACTTTCATTTTATTTGGAGTCAAATAAGCAGTACAGTTTTCAAAATAATAATTACTTGTCAATCTGTTTCAAGAACACATTGAAGGCAGGATAGTGGAGTGTACTGCCAGAAGAAGCTGTAAGAGTCTCGAAAGTAAAGCGAGCGTTCACGACATTCCGCTACCACCAGTATAAGCGTTGCTAGCCACACAAATGCATTTTCACCAATACTTGGCTCCTCATCAACCTGTCAATACATTTTATAAAATAACAACCTAAAAAAATCAAACAACATATAATAGGAGTACCATTTATCACACCAA